TAACGACACAGCGGCCACTCGCCGCTCTCCACGCTTGGATACCCCCCCTGGTTTTCCACCTCGGCTGTCTTTGCCGCCTCCGCAGCCTGCTGCTGTGGACTCTGGAGGTGAGACTGCTGGTGCTGGGCCTAGGGGTGCTGAGACAGAGGGTGAGGTTCTGGGGGTGCTGCGACTGGGGGTGCTGGTTCTGGGGGGTGCTGCGACTGGGAGTGCTGTGACTGGGGGTGCTGGTTCTAGGGGTGCTGCGAGTGGGAGTGCTGACTCTGGGGGTGCTGCGAGTCCTAGTGGCGGGGGAGCTGTGGGTGACCCTGCTAGAGGTTTTGGAGCTGGACAGCCACCGCAGCCTAATCTACTTGAGACGCTCTTGCCGCAGGCGATTCATGCGTGGATCGTTCGGCGAGGCAGTCCTGGTGGTGGAGGGTACGGTCCTGCTGGTGCTGGAGCTGCTAGGCCTGTAGGTACTGCTAGTGTTGGAGGTACTGTAGGTACTGCTGGAAGTGCTGGAGGTACTAGAGCTGCTAGTCTTGGAGGTGCTGGAGGTGCTGCTCGTGCTGGAGGTGCCGGAGCTACTAGTCCTGGAGGTGCTGCTGGTGTTGAAGGTGCTGGAGCTGCTATTCCTGGAGGTCCAGCTGCTGCTGGAGGTGCTGGAGCTGCTGGCACTGGAGGTGCTGGTGCTGTTGGTGTTGGAGGTGCTGGAGGTGCTGCCGGTGCTGGAGGCGCTGGAGCTGGAGGTACTGGAGGTACTGAAGCTGCTAGTCCTGGAGGTGCTCGTACTGGAGGTGGTGGAGCTGCCGGAGCTGGTGGTGCTGCTGGTGCTGGAGGTGCTGGAGGTGCTGCTGGGGGTACTGGAGGTGCTGGAGCTGCTGGAGCTGCAGATCCTGGAGGTGCACGCACTAGAGGTGCTGGAGCTGCCGGAGTAGGTGGTGCTGCTGGTGTTAGAGGTACTGGAGGTGCTGCCGGAGCTGCTGGCACAGGAGGTGCTGGAGGTACTGCTGGTGCTAGAGGTGCTGGCGTTGCCGGAGCTCGTGGTGCTGCTGGTGCTGGAGGTGCTCGTGCTGCTGGTTCTGGAGGACCTGGAGCTGCTGGTACTGCCCCGCTCCGACCGTTTTTCTACCCACAGCCACAGTCGTCCCTGCCGCCGCCTGACTTGGTCCTTCGCCAGATTCTTAGTCTCCCGTCTTCCACTGGCCTTACTCCACCTCTCCTGTGTCCACCGACAGACCAGTCTCAGCCACAGCTACTGCCTGGCTCCCCGCTACTTTCTCCTACTCCTCACACTGAGGTGACTGAGTCCCTGACTGAGCATCGTGAGCCTGAGACTCGTGCTTCCACACCTGTTCGTGCTCGTCGTGTCGCCTGTCCTCGTTCTCCTGCTGTCCCAGGCACTTACAGTATGGCACTTCGTCCTTCCTTTGTTCCACAGCGTGTTGTCCTGCCTGAGCCTCCCGCGTCCTCTCTTCCGCATGTTCCTGACCTTGAGTCCGACCTTGCTCGTGCTGCCAGTCCTACTGTCACCCATCTCCTCGCTACTGTCGTCACTGACCTTGACTGTGAGTCTACTGCTGCGTTTGCCCTAGTCACTGAGCTGGTCGACTTTGAAGCTAGGAGTCTTCTCGACTACGTCGCGATTCTTGTTACTGAGTCTGAGTCTGTCTGTCCTCCGTCCGTCGGCGGTGAGGTTACCCTTGGTTGTGACGTTCTTGAGGATAGGGAGGAGGAGCTGGAGTGTCTTGCGGCCGCTGCACCTCATCTCGCGACCATGCTGCTTGCCCCAGAGGGAGATCCGGATGCACTTGACATCCCCACCCCGCGCTCTTACAGAGAGGCGATCTCGGGTAAGTACTCCTCTCAGTGGCAGACAGCCATGGACGCAGAGATGGCTTCCTGAAAGTCCACAGGCACCTACGTCGACGAGGTTCCCCCACCTGGGGCGAACATCGTCAATGGCATGTGAATCTTCAGGGTGAAGCGGCCGCCGGGTTCTCCGCCAACCTTCAAGGCACGTTACGTTGCTCGAGGCTTCAGACAGCGTGAGGGGGTCGACTTCTTTTGAACCTTCTCCCCCACCCCGAAGATGGCCACTCTTCGGGTGTTGCTACATGTTGCAGCTCAGCGTGACTACGAGCTGCACTCCCTCGACTTCTCCACAGCTTTCTTGTAGGGCAGCCTTCACGAGGCCATCTGGCTGCGCCATCCACCTGGCTTCACTGGGTCGTTTCCTGAGGGTACCCAGTGGAGCCTTCGGCGACCAGCATACGTCCTCCGTCAGGCACCTTGCGAGTGGCACGACACACTAAGGACGACACTTGCGGCTCTTAGGTTTGCTCCTTCGATTGCTGACCCGTCAATGTTTCTGCGCACCGACACTACCCTGCCGCCATTCTACGTCCTCGTGTACGTCGACGACTTGGTTTTTGCTACTGCAGACACGGAGGCGCTGGCCCTAGTGAAGGCGGAGCTGCAGGAAAGACACACCTGCACTGACCTGGGTGAGTTGCGTAGCTATCTTGGCTTGCAGACCACCCGGGACAGAGCACGGTGCACCATCACCCTAACTCAGTCACACATGGTGCACCATGTCCTCCAGCGCTTTGGCTTCCAGTGCTCCTCGCCACAGCCCACTCCTCTGTCTATCGGTCACTCGCTCTTAGCTCCACCTTCGGACGAGTCCGTATAGCCGAGTGGTCCGTACCCAGAGCTTGTGGGTTGCCTCATGTACCTGATGACATGCATACGACCTGACCTCGCAGCCCCTCTCAACCTCTTGGCTTGCTACGTGGCACTTGGTAGACACCGAAAGGTGGACTTTGATGCTGCGAAGAGGGTACTGCGTTACTTGTGCAGTACATCGGGCATGGGGCTCGTGCTTGGAGGACGGGGTTCAGTGGTAATCAGAGGACATTCCGTTGGGCCGAAAACCAGGCGACCCAGCGTTCGTCACAGGGTTACACCTTCAGTCTTGGCTCTGGTTCTGTCTCTTGGAGGTCCACTCGTTCTTCTTCTGTGCTTGGTTCCAGCTGTGAGGCCGAGATCTACGCTGGGCCCTGGCTGCACAGGAGCTACGCTGGCTGACCTACCAGCTGACCGACTTGGGGGAGCGGCCTCGTTCTCCTCCAATTCTGTACGTCGACAACCAGGGAATGCGTGCCTTGTGCCGGGTGCAGAGACTGGAGCACAGAACGAAGCACATTGCTCTTCATTACTTTCTTGCTCGGGAGCTGCAGTAGCGTGGTCAGCTGCGCCTTGCTTACGTGGCCTCTCGGGCCAACACTGCTGATGTCTTCACCAAGGCCCTTGGGTCTGGTGATCATCAGCGTATCTGCACTGCTCTTGGGCTTGTGCCCACTCTTCCTCACCTGCAGGTTGCTTTACTTGCTCTTGTTGTACACTGATATATATCTTCATACGTGCTTGTTTACTCTTGCTAGGTTGTGATCAGTGTATTGCCTTGCTATTAAAACTCTGCATGTGAACTGGCCTTGTGGCCGCTTGCTTGTGCTCAGATTGTGTGGTGTCGTTGAGATCCACCTTGAGCTTTGCTTTGCTTGTTCTCTTGCTTGACTGGTCTTGTGACCGCCTGTTGTGTTTGCTCTCTCCCACTTAGCCTATGGGGGTGTGTCAAACTGTATGTTTGTATTCTCTCTAGGCTATAGTGGGTTAGACTACAAGGGGTACAACACTTTAGGGTCAGTACTTGTACCCAACTCATTCATAGTTCATTCATTCCTGCACAGTGGATTCTGACAGTTTGGCGATCGGAAAGACAAATGCGGCGCGAGGAGCCTCGGCATCGTTGACGTCGGCCGAACGTGCAGAGTCCGAAAATCGGGCTGTACGCGTAGCAGTCAAGTCCGATAAGGAATTCGGGAAAACTCTTTATAGTATATTTGCGATTTTATTATTATTATTATTATTCTTTACGTGCGTAAGGTTAGTAGTTGTTACGGTTGCAATGGAACGAGGATTGCACTATGTGTCAAACAAGTACAAAGTATGAGCGAAGGCATGAGCAAATACTTATATGCAGAAACATGCAACGGTTACGCAGTGCCTGCGAGCTAGCTGGTGCTAGGCTGGCATCGAGGTTCGGGCTAGTCTTGAAGTGAAGGCCGAATCGGCCAGGCCAGCGGTGCATCGTTTGGTAAAACAATGCGCGCAAAGTTGGCGAAGCTCCGTTAACAGTAATGGTCGAACAACGGCTGCTGCTGTGCGCGATGTCGAAGAACAGGGTAAGGATTGCTGGAAAATTCTCTAAGAGAATTAATTTGATCACGTTTTAGGTTTAGGTTTGGTGTTTAATACCACTGTAGACGGGAAATAGTCGTTTTTCCTGCTGGTGATCGTGTTACGATGCGGCGCGATTCAAAGCTCCCTCCAACAGGGAGTCTTGTAACGTGAACGGGTTTCACATCGGGATCAGCTGAAAGGTTTTCCTCGCACTTCCCGCTTGATCGCACTCCGTCACTGCTCTCACCACTATGAACGACTTACCTCACCTCCCGTCCTGCAGTGGCGGGGAGCAGCAGTCTAGAGTTCACTTACTTCAATCGGAAGTTGCGGCCCGCCTTCGCGGCGCTGCGAACAGGCTCGGCGATGCGTGGCGCGATGCGCGCCGTGGAGTGCGGAGCGGGCCAGAGGGGGTCGCGGGCAGGCCTGCACTGGACGGAGGAGACGCGGCCGGCAATAGGCTCGCGATAAGCGGACAACGGATAGAAGCGATCGGTTCCTCGTTAGAATCACGGCAAGTGGCTCGTAGCGATGCTATTTTAGCGGGCTTTATGGACGGGCTGGCGAGCAAGGGCGGCGCGATATTGGACCGCCTTCAGGCGCACGCCGCCCGACTACTCCCCGCGCACCACCTAGCCTCCCCCTCCCCCTCCCCGCTCGCCCGCTCGCCGCTGCCTCTCGCCTCGCTCTCCCTCCCCCTCGCCCCGCCCCCGAACGACGACTCCCCCGCTCCGCCCTCCCCGCAGCAGTGGCGCCCTCCGCACCTCCGCGGAATGCCGCACAGACGCCGCGGCGGCGGGCCCCCAGGCAACACACCCCCCGCGCGGACAGTAGACAGCCGCGGAGCCGCACCCGGCGGGGCCGGCGGCGGCGGCGGAGGCGGGGGAAAGGCGGAGGAGGAGCGCGTGCTGATCAGCGAAATAGTGATTCGCGACAAGGACGGCGGCGAAGTGGAGGACGAGGAGCTGCTGAAGGTGGTGGCGGGCGCGCTCAAGGTGTCCAAGGCCAACGCGGCGCTGACGACGCGCGAGGTGCAGGAGGACGTGCATCGTATCATCGACACTGGGTACTTCGCCAGCTGCCTTCCGACTGCGGAGGACACACGTGACGGCGTGCGGCTTATCTTCTGGGTGCGTCCACGTGTGGGGGAGAAAGGGGGGGAGGGTGGGGTCTGGGTGGGAGGGCTTGTGGGGGGTTGGGTGGATCACGCAGGCAGGGTACACGCGTGCGTGCGTGGGTGGGCAGGTGCGTGTTTAGGTACACACAGACCCATGCAGCAGGGTGACGCTGGCGGACAACAGGCAGAGCAGAGCTGCTGTTGAGGCGTGAGAGGCACGTGAGGCGTGAGAGGCACGTCGCACGTGAGGCGTGAGAGGCACGTGAGGCGTGCATGGACCCATGCAGCAGGCAGTGTGTTCTTGTCGCTGCTTCTCCTCATCCCTGCAACCTCATCCTCCCACCCACTTTGCACTCCACTTCACCCTTGTCTTACCATCCCCACCATACGATGCCACCCATACTGTGCCTTACCATACTTTTCCGTACCAAACCGAGTCATACCGTGTGGCATGATGGCAGGTGGAGGCGAATCAGGAGATGAAGGGGCTGATGTGCATGGGAGCCAATGTGCTGCCGACACGTGTCATTGAGGACGCCTTCCGGGACGAGTACGGTATGCCCGTGACCTGCGCACTCGCATGCTCACATGCTCACATGCTCACATGCTCTCATGCTCACATTCTCTCATGCTCGCATGCTCTCATGCTCACATGCTCTCATGCTCGCATGCTCTCATGCTCACATGCTCACATGTGCCCACCCATCGCCCACCCTTAAACACCTGCAGTCTCACATTCACATGCACACACCGCCCGACCGCCCAATCCCTTACCTGCTAACTTGACCTGCATGCTCACCGGCACTCAGTACCTTTACTTCTTGCTGCTTCACCTGCGTCCACTGCTGCTCATCTGCCTTGCCACGCACACACCTTCTCTTGCTTCGCATGTGCGAGCATGTGCATTGCTCATACATCAACTGTTTCACTGCCACCCGGCACACACAACACAACAGAACCACACACGTCCAGCAACCCGCCTCCTCCCCCATCCGGCCCCCACATCTCCCCCCCCCCTTCCCACCAGGCAAGGTGGTGAACATTCAGCGCCTCAACGGCGTGCTGGATGTGCTCAACGGCTGGTACAGCGACCGCGGCCTCTTCGGCCAGGTCAGCTGCTGCTCCCACTCCCACCCCCTGCTCCCACCCCCTGCTCCCACCCCCTGCTCCCACCCCCTGCTCCCCACCCCCTGCTCCCACCCCCTGCTCCCCACCCCCTGCTCCCCACCCGCTGCTCCCCACTCCTCGCTCCCCCCTCCCTTCTTCCCACTCCTCGCTCCCCCCTCCCCTCTTCCCACTCCTCGCTCTCCCCTCCCCTCTTCCCACTCCTCGCTCCCCCCTCCCCTCTTCCCACTCCTCGCTCCCCCCTCCCCTCTTCCCACTCCTCGCTCCCCCCTCCCCTCTTCCCACTCCTCGCTCCCCCCTCCCCTCTTCCCACTCCTCGCTCCCCCGTCCTCGCTTCCCCCTCCTGGTACAGCGACCGAGGACTCTTAGGCCAGGTGCGCCTTGCCCCTTTCCTCCCACATGCTCTCCGTTCGCCTTGCTTCTCATCGTTCGGGTGATGAAAAGAGTGCCAATCGACTCTGGCAGCACGTGGAATTGTTGTGTCTTGATCAGCCGGGCATGTGCAGTGTGTGTGCGCCTCCCATGCGTGCATGGGATGGGATGGCTATCTAGGAGCCTACCCAATCCCGTGAGTGCATGTGGAGATGTTGTGTGCATGTGCATGTGGAATATTATTGTCTGTGTATGGCCATGCGCGCACCACAATTCCCCTCAACTCCATGCACCCCACCCCATCCAACCCCACTCCACTTCACCGCACTCCACCGCACTGCACCACACCACACCGGCAGGTAACGGACGTGGAGCTGCTGTCGGATGGGGTGGTGCGGGTGAAGGTGGCGGAGGCGGAGGTGAACAACATCACCATCAAGTTCCGCGACCGCAAGACGTGAGACACAGAACTAAGTTCCCTTGAGTTCCAGTGTTGAGCGGATTTCCCTTCAAGTTGTATATAATGTATCCAGCTACAAGGAAAATGTGTCCAGAACCATGTGTGTCTTCATTGTCTAGTCATCGTGTCCTTTCTGTTTTCCTCGCTGCCCTCCTCCCTGCCGTGCCACAGAGGCGAGCCGACGACAGGCAAGACGCGGCCAGAGACCATCTTGCGGCAACTCATGACCAAGAAAGGGCAGGTGGGTGCGTGGGAGGAGAGAAGGGGCAGGTGGGTGTGCAGGGCAGGCAGGTAGGGCAAGGGGCAGGGGAGGCAAGAGCTTGCATCAGGGGAGAGTGAAGGCTGTCTATACGTCAAGAATTTCACTTGGCCATGTACTTGTAATCTGGCCCCCATGTATATGCCTGAATGTTGCTGTGCATTCAAGCGCCTCCTCACCCATGCCCCCACCATTGCCCCACCATGCCCCCACCATGCCCCCACCATTGCCCCACCATGCCCCCCTTCTTTTTTCCACCCGGCAGGTGTACAGCAGGGGCGGCGGGACGTGGAGACGGTGTTCACGATGGGCATCATGGAGGAGAGCTGAGTGATGCCCCCCATGCCTCGACCCCCTATGCGGCCGTGCTTCCCCCCCTCCTACACACAGGTGTACTCGCTACAGCAGGGGCGGCGGGACGTGGAGACGGTGTTCACGATGGGCATCATGGAGGACGTCAATTTGATCCCACACCCTGCCCCTGGAGGTACGCTGCTGGGGCACGGTGGGACACGGTGGGGCACGGTGGGGCACTTTGGCCACGGTGGGGCACGGTGGGCATCATGGAGGACGTCAACCTCATCCCGCACCCCGCCCCCGGAGGTAGGAGGTACCTTCATGCGGTGAATCACGGTGCCAAGGGGTGAGTGAGGGTAGGGTTAAGGGAGAGGGGAGGCTGTGTGAAGTGCAATAGTGATTGAACGTGGTGCTGCAGAGATTCACGAGTCCCAGGGCGCACCTCCATTCACGTGTATCAGACGGTCGTGCCTGGGCCCCATTTGCTTCCATCGCCCTCCCCCTCACCCGATCGCCCTTCTCAGGGCACGGGTGGGCCAGCTTCGATGCACGTCCCAAGCCCCACCCTAACTCTGCTGCTGCTGAATATCCCGCCACTGCCTCCGTGCACCTCGCCCTCCCACCCTCCCCTTTCCCCCTCTTCCATCCCCCCCAGACACCTAAGTTGGATATTACGCTTACGTTTACGTACGTTTTACGTTTACGTTTACGTACTTTTTACGTTACGCATGAGGTGCTGGAATGAGGCAGATTTTTTTTTCCTTCAGCTGCCCGGTTGAAGTAAAAATTTGAAGGGATACGAAATTGGCATCAATAACTCTATAACATAGAATCTATCAACACAAAAAGTACTTGTGATGGTGTGTTAATTTTCGCGAGGTGTACAAACCAGCTCGCGCCTTGTCCCAATTTCACGCGATATTGCGTAAGTCAATGCGTTTCCCCAATGGGTTACTCCGAATCAGTCCCCGCTTACCCTCCCAGTCCCACGACGTATGCAGGCTCCAGAGCCTTTAGACTGACGACCTAATGCAACTTCATAGATCTACCATGCAAAACTAAGATCTTAGAACCCATGACCTACCATTTTTAGTTACGACCTAAGTTAAGATCTAACATCTTACCAGGCTGTATCTGCTGGTCCGCTGCCCTGAACGGTTCCGCAGCGACATTTCGCAAAAATTCAAGACCGAACGAACGGTTCTCCCTTTTTTTCCACCGGAATTTTTTTCCTGCCCGGACCCAAGTTACGCGTATTTACGCGTACGTAAACGTAAACGTAATGTTACTCGTAACATTACGTTTACGTAGGGCCAGGGACGTACGGACCCATCTTAGCCAGACACAAGCAACTTGGACCTCACTATGAATGAACGTTGTTGAACGCTCAAGGCCCCACCGTCCCACCTGCCCCCATGCACACCACAGCACATCACATCACAGCACAGCACAGCACAGCACAGCACAGCACAGCACAGCACAGCACACCACAGCACACCACACCACACCACAGCACACCACGCCACAGCACACCACAGCACACCACAGCACATCACAGCACACCACGCCATGCGCCTTCACTTCTCCCCACCCCTCCACCTGCCGCAACACACAGACACGGGCATGGTGGGTCTCACCATGAACGTTGTAGAGCGCTCAAGGCAAATCATGCCACCCACTCCACATACCTGCAACCTGTCCCCCTACCCTTATTCCACTGTCCACATACCCCCTTCCCCCCTACCGGGCATGGTAGACCTCACTGTGAACATCGTTGAGCGGTCCAATGCACACCATGCCACATCATTCCATCTGTCCCTCCCTGTGACCCTCCCCACCTCTCTCCCCCCCACCCCCCCACCAGACACGGGCATGGTGGACCTCACCATGAATGTTGTAGAGCGCCCGCCAGGTGGCTTCTCTGCTGGCGGTGGGCTGTCCGGCAGCAGGTGGGGGGGGAGAGGGGAGGGGAGCAAGTGGCAAGTGGAGCGGTTAGGGGATAGCAGTGGGTGGGTTGGGGAGAGGGCAAAGGGTGGGGGGAGGATAGAGGAGTGGGTTGGGGGGAGGATAAGAAG